AGATCTGCCTTGTCCGTTTTTGAGATCTCTAATTACAGACCGACCTCCGTTACATTCAGCTGCTGCGGTTTGACCTGCTATCGAGGTAGATGCTTATAAATTATATTTTCTCCTTTTGTATGTTCTTCCAAACTTTGCTGAACTTGCTCCTATATCTGACCTCTTTATTTTTTTTTTTTTTACTTATCCGAGCTTGAATCCATCCGATCTGTCTTCTGTTTTGAAATTGATTTGCTCAAGTTTCTAAACTGAACCAATCCCTTATCGCTCTTCGCTGTTAAGCCCACCTTTGATCTTGACACCCCTTTGAGTTCCATTTCGCCAAAGTTGATTTGTTCATATTTCCAGAACTCTCTTCCTCACCAGCTTATGGTCTCCATTTTTTTGTCGACCTTGTTTCTACTTACCCCGAACTACTGTCCAGTGAAATCTTCTGATGTTTCCTCTAAATTTCATTCATCGATTCTCACAGATGTCTCCAAACTCGACCGATTCTACCAGTTCTTCCAGTTCGGATTCTTCAAGCTCTTCCAGCTCGCCTGATTCTTCGCCGAGCCAGAGTGATCCTACTGAAAAACGAGTGGCTTCTCCTGCACCTGCTCCATCCGATCCGACTTCGTCTAGTTCCTCCAATTCTTCTCAATCCTCGCTGAGCCAGAAAGATCCGAAAGGAAAACATGTGGCTACCTCGGGTTCACCGTCCTCGTCTAGTTCTTCCTCGACATCTGAAAAAGATTGCCGTAGAGAAGAAAGCAGCTGCTTCAAAGGCAACCTCTGAGTTGCTGATAGTAGGAATTTTTCAATCCTTGATCAATTCCTCAACTACTCATGTCATTGTAGCACTTGAGGTATCAATCCAAATGGAGAGATTCTAGACACTAGAACTATGAGGATCAATTCTTAATCCAAGTCTAATAAGCAGATGAGTTGGTAACCAAGATTATCTAAAAGCATATAACAAAACAAGCAAGAACAAACAGTAATTAAGAATTAAACAAGCAAGAGAAACTAAACAAACACTCAAATTCAAATAAAAAGAAAGCTAAACCTCTAGATGTGATCATTGATTAGGGTGCTTTAAATGTGAATTCATGATGCTAAGCAAACAATGCAACACTTGCAAATCTTTAGTCTAGACTTCCAATTCAGATTAATTCATTCTCATGACAGAAATCCCTTTGTTAATTACCAATTCAAGACTAATTCTCATTAGTGAATAAGCAATTAACAAGCATAAGGTTCCAAGTCTAACATGACCAGACAGCCTCTTTGTGCATCAAAATAAGAGCCAAGAAAGACTGAATCTTATACAGAAAGATAAAGCAAGCATCACATGATCTCAAATTCCAATTAACTTAGAACTCTAATCTAGATTAATCCTCTCATGAAGGCACTAACCTCTACACTAATCCATTTTCAAACCAAATCATCATTTGTGAAATATGAATCAATGAGCATTAAGAAACAGTTCTAATATGCCATTCATGCATTTAACAATCATTCCCATGACATTAATGCATAAACCCTTAGTTAGCTTTCATTCAGGCATTTCATCAAACACTTTTGGTGCATGAAAAACCCAGATTCTAGACCCAAGTGATGTGCAAGGATCTAGCATTAGGATCAGCTAACTAAGGAAAGGAGAAGAGAATCTAAGCTTAAACAATCATTAATCTACATCTAAGCACCCTAATCTACACACCTAGAAGCTTAAAAGATGACTACTCACTAATCATGAAGAACACATCTAATCTTTTGCAAGAGATGATGTTAATCATGATTAGAAGCAGAAATGAGATGATGAGATGATGAGAAACAGACTTAGATTGATTAAATCCTTGAGATCTCTCTTAATCAAAAACGTTTTTACACTAAAAAGGAAAGAAAACTAGAGAGAAAACTAAGAGAGAAGATGATCCCCTTGGGTTTTTCTCCCAAAAAACTATATATACCTAGTGCTAATGGACCGGGTCAGCCCAGGACAAACTGGGTACTGACCCGGCTCAGTTGGGTCAAGTGGAAATCCTGCGGGTCAGTCCAGTATGTCCCAGGTCGCACACCTAAGTCGCAGTAGATGAAGACTTGTCTTGTGAAGCCTGAATCGCCTTGTCTTAGCCGCACGCCTAAGTAGGAGTGTTTTGCGAGTGTTGCTGCGGCTTGGTCTCCTTCCTCTCCAACTCGCAGGGCTAAGGCGGTTTCTGGGGAATGTACAAACTGTGCGGGTTGGTCTCTATTGCACCTAGGTCGCAGGCTCAAGTCGGAGTGATTTGCGAGTGTTGCTGCGGCTTGGTCTCCTTCCTCTCCAACTCGCAGCATCCAGAGCAGCTTAGACCACTTCGCATTCCGGAGAGTGTAACTCCTATGAGACTTGTCCGAATTGAATGATTTCGGTTGCAGAAGACAGAGGACTCATTTATCTCCAACTTTGGTGAAGAAAGCTTCGGTGCTTGGGAAGTGTAAGGCTTCCTGGAGGGCACATCTTTGCAGTGCATGTACACGACCAGAGAGAGGCGTCTAGACATGTGTCCATTCCGGAGACTGTATCTTTCTGCTCATAGATCCGAATTGAATGCTCTTGGACGTTCTGGAAAGAAGACTCAAATTTCTATGGTTCTCATGAAGGACCCGGAAACTAAATCGGCCTGGAAGTGCACCGTCCTTCGCATCCTTTAGAACTGATCTGCTCGGTCAGGAATACCTGCGAGACTGGGGTTCCTTCCGACAAGCTTATCTCTCTGCTCACGCGTCCGAATTCCACGATTCTACTTGCTAAGAGACCGTGATGCAATGCTCTCCAACTTCTATGAAGCACCCGCCGTCTGAATCGGACCGGAAGGCTCCCCGGACAGGTGATCATTCAGGGGTATCGGATTGCTCCGGAATGAGTGGGAGACCTGTTCGTCTTCCGATTACCATATCTTTCAGTTCTATGGTCCAAATGCCTTGATTCCAACTGTTATGAACTCTTGACTCAATTATCTCCAACCTTTATGAAGACTCCGATAGCTGAATCTGACCGGAAGGTTCCCCGGACGGGCGATTTCGGAAACGTGTCTGCACCCGGAGATTTTGGCCGAGAGACTTGATTCGCGGTACATGAAAATGGCCGGTAAAGCTTCCCGCGGTACATGGAAATGGCCGGTAAAACCTTCCTGGCCAGCGAGAATGGCCGGTAATCTCCCAGGACCCAATTTTCCACTTTTTTCAAGCTTTGCTCACCATTCCACCTCCTGGATTCATCTTTTCAGCTCCATATTCACCTGATAGACACTCAAAACATGCAATATACTCATTGGGACCTAATGCATCTCCTAAGTTCTAAAACAAACCCTAAGGACCTAAAATGCATGAAATAAAACATAATTTGGAATGATTTATGCAACCTAAATGATGCAAATTATGAACATATCAGTTGCAAACCGAGATTTCTGATCTCAAGGGACAGATTGTCGAACTCGACGCCAAACGAGATTTGCTATCAAAAGAGTTGAAGGACGAACAAACGCGGCTTAGAGGGGCTCGGAACAGAGCACTTCGAGGGTGGAAAATGGCAACTGAAAAGTGCCAAGTTCGAGTCTAGAAGTCGAACAGGCGCCAATCCGAGATTGAAGCGCAAATGGAACCATATCTCGAGTATAACCAGCTTTGCGGGATTCTTGGTTTCTGTGATGAATACGGTCTGAAAGGCGGTGCGATTTCTCCATCTGTTATCAGCAAGCTTGAGAGGCGCAAGGCACACAGCGAGCTAGGTTCAAGTCGCTCTCTATGACCGAACTTGAGCCTGATGATACCCGTGTTACACCGTTTCGTGACGACCTTTACCCAGGGATCGATCAGGTGATTGGATTTGATGTTCCCGCAGGTCTGGACATGTTTGGATCTAACTCTGAGGAGATATCGGATAGGCAAGCTTCTGACATGAGGAGTTGAGCTTCAGACTGATCTTAGTTTTTTTTTTAATCTTTTGTTAGACTATTTTCCTGGTATTATATACATTGCCTGAGGAGGCTTTTAAACCTTGACTTGTTTGCCCGGGTGGGCTTTTGACGTGTTATGTTATGAGGTCGGATTTTCTAGAATCTTGTATTTTTCATTAAATACTTGTGTTCGAGGAAGATTTGACTTTGCGAACTGTGAGTTCGGCTTATTTTGCAAGTGTTGAAAATTTGGCTTACATTTTTCGAGTGTTGAGAACTTGGCTTATATTTTGCGAGTGTTGAGAACTCGGCTTATGGTGCGAATCTGAGGTGTTCGGCTTAATTTTTGCGAGTTCAATGAACTCGGCTTGAAACCCAAGGGAGTTCTCTCGTGATGGAAGGACGGAGTTCGAAAGAAGCGTTTCCTTGTAAACACACGATGAAACTCCAGGTTTCCTAGATCGAATCGGAGTATGCGGGATGAGCCCGGCTTATTGTTCTCAGATGACCTAGGAATAAGTAATGCGGGACTGGCCCCGGCTTTAAAAATTGTGGATTCTTTCACCACGACGCCATGTGGAGGCTTGCGAGACAGATCTCGGCTTTTTGAGGTTGCATTGTTGAGAAATGCTATCGAATGTCTGGCCAGGACATCGATGTGAATACCGATGAGTTCAGTTACGACTGCGAACATAGGAGTTCAGCTTAACAGATACTTAGAAAAATTAAAATTTATTAATATACCAGCTGAACTCTTGACGAGCTGCCTACGTACCCGCGAAGGGATCAAACCATTCGTAGTTCATGTTACAACGTTTAGAGCTCGTAGAGTGTTCCTTTTTTTTTTTGATCGGGTTACTGATCTAATAGTAGACCTAATAGTAGTATCTCTTCATACTCATCGAATTCCACGATCTCAGAATTGGAGTTCCATCCATCTTCATGAGTTGATAAACACCTGGTTTTACGACCTTCATTATCTGATACGGGTCTTCCCAATTGGCACCGAGCTTACCAGCGTTTTTTTCCTCTGTATTCTGAAACACTTTTCGGAGAACGAGATCACCGTCTTCGAAAAACCGACCTCGAACTTTCTTGTTGTAGTATCGCGCCGCCATGTGTTGATAATTCTGAATTCGGAGTAATGCTTGGTCGCGTTGCTCTTCTAGTTCATCAAGTTTGTCGTACATCATTTGGTCGTTAGTTTTGGGATATTGAGTGAGCATCGTCCTTCTGATGGGCGGAATTGAAATTTCAGCTGGGCAAAGAGCCTCGACACCATATGCTAAGGAAAAGGGAGATTGTCCTGTTGATCTTCGAGGTGTTGTTCGATGCGACCATAATACTCCGTCGAGTTCGTCAGACCAAGTTCCTTTCTTTTCAGTGAGCCGTTTTTTTAGGCCGTCTATAATAGTTTTGTTTGTCGCTTCTGCTTGACCATTGCCCTGAGGGTACCTAGGTGTAGAGAAGTTCAATCGAATTTTCCATTCAGCGCAAAAGTCTTGAAAAACGGCCGAAGTGAACTGAGATCCGTTGTCGGTGACAATCTCATAAGGAATCCCGTGTCAACAAATGATGTTTTTCTAGACGAATTTCTTGACCTCGTTTCCGTGTATTTCTGGGTAGGCTTTGGCTTCGACCCATTTGGTAAAGTAGTCCGTCATGACGAGGACGAACTGCTTTTGAGTTGTGGATCGGCAAAAAGGGCATATGATGTCCATCGCCCATCGCATAAACGGGTAAGGAGCTGTGGAGGTTGTTAACAGTTCAGTAGGAAGGTTGATCATTGGGCCATGCCTTTGGTACCTCTCACACTTAGCGACAAATTTTTCGCAACTGAAACCATAGTAGGCCAGAAATAGCTTGCCTTCTTTATCTTCAGGGCGAGAGACCGACCTCCAGAGTGATTCCCACCTGATCCTTCGTGAACCTTCTTCATAATTTCCTTAATCTCTTTGCCGGATACGCAGATGAGAAGAATTCCTGCTGCGCTCCATCGGAATAGGCCGTCCTTGATCATCATATACCGAGCCGCACGCATTTTTAGTCGGTGTGCTTCCCATTTGTCCGGTGGTAGCTCTTCATTCGCTAAGTATGCTATAATTTCTTGCGTCCAATCTGGAGGTACTTCCTCATCGTTTTCGTCCACATTTAGTGGGTCGTGACGACCTTCGGAAGGAAGTTCAGCATCGTCTTCGTTCTCTTGAACGAGGTCGGTCTCGTCAATCCGACCATCAAAATTGAGTGGCAGATTTGTGTCACCCAATGTGCGCCTTCGACGTCGTAAAGGTGGTTCAAGATTCGGTTCCGCCTCATAATCTCTTCGTCGGGTAGTAACGTTGCAATCCTTCATAGTTTTGATACTGGGTCGTGAGATACTTTCAATCGGGATTGTTCGTTTGAGATGTGGATCCGAATTTGATGCGAGAGCTGCTAAGGCATCGGCAGGCGCATTCTCTCCTCGAGGAATTTTCGTAAGGTTGAATGTGTTGAACTCTGCTGCGAGTTGCTTAACTAGTTGTAGGTAGGCCTCCATTCGATCATTTTTGGTATCATACTCCCCGCTGAACTGACTAGCAACGAGCTGAGAATCGCAGTAGGCGTGAAGATGTTGTGCGCCGATTTCCTTTGCAAGACGGAGGCCGGCGATAAGTGTCTCGTATTCGGCTTCGTTGTTAGACGCTGGAAAGTCTAAACGAAAAGATTGTTCCAACAGTTTGCCGGTCGGTGTTTTAAGCTGAATACCAATTCCATATTCTTTATAGGATGACGATCCATCAACGTGAAGCACCCATTTTTCAGCTTCGGTTAAGTCAGCTTTGATGAGTTCGGGTGAAAGTTCAATAAAAAAATCGGCTAACACTTGTGGTTTTGCGCTAGTCCGGTTTTTGTACCCAATGTCGTACTTGCTTAGTTCGATAGCCCACTTCGCAAGACGTCCTGACTGGCTGGGATTGTGCAAGATAGCGCGGAGCGGTTGGTCGGTGAGCACCGTGATGGAGTGGGACTGAAAGTAGGGTCGGAGTTTTCGCGCCAAGGTGACAACAGCCAATGCCAATTTTTCTAAGGTCGGGTATCGTGACTCCGCGTCGTTGAGTGCTTTGCTTGTGTAGAAAATTGGCTTCTGCTCGCCACGATCTTCTCTGACAAGAACGCTACTGACAGCCGAGACAGATACTGCAATGTACACATACAGGGTCTCGCCGTCCTCTGGTTTGGCTAAAATCGGAGGAGTAGACAAGTATTCCTTTAATTGTTTGAATGCGTGTTCGCAGTCGTCGTTCCACTCAAGATGCTTATTGCCACGAAGGATTTGGTAAAAAGGTAAGCATTTGTCCGTTGATCGAAATATGAATCTATTTAGTGCAGCAATTCGTCCTGTAAGCTTTTGGACTTCGCGCTTCGTGGTCGGGGATGGAAGCTCGAGGATCGCCGTTATCTGTTTTGGGTTAGCTTCGATCCCTCTCCGAGTCACAATATATCCGAGAAATTCACCGGACGTAACTCCGAATGTACAATTAGTAGGATTTAGCTTCATGCCATACTGGTCAAGTATCTCGAAACAGGTTTGGAGATGTCGAACATGATCTTTGGCGAGAAGAGACTTGACGAGCATGTCGTCAATGTAGACCTCCATGGTTCGGCCGAGCTGACTGGCAAACATTCGGTTAACAAATCGTTGGTAGGTCGCCCCAGCGTTCTTTAGCCCAAACGGCATGACTTTGTAACAATAAATTCCACGATCCGTGATAAAAGAAGTCTTTTCACGGTCTTCTGGATGCATAAGTATTTGATTATAACCGGAGAATGCGTCCATAAACGAAAGAAGTTCGTTTCCTGCGGTCGCCTCTACCAGCCGATCAATATGTGGTAAAGGGAAACTGTCTTTGGGACAAGCTTTATTCAGGTCGGTGAAATCAACGCAAATTATCCATTTCCCGTTCTTCTTTTTGACGACGACGGGATTAGCAAGCCAATCTGGATATCGAACTTCAGTGATAGATCCTGCTTGAAGTAGTCGCTCGACTTCGTCATTAACGGCTTGTGCCTTTTCAAGTCCAAGTTTGCGTCTTTTTTGTTTGACGGGTTTGAAAGTAGGGTCGATATTGAGTTCGTGGCGTGCCACCTTTGGATCTATGCCCGGCATATCGCTGATCGACCATGCGAAGGTTGTCACGTGCTTGCAGAGGAACTGAAGTATATCTTCCCTGATTTCTGGATCCAGGTCGGCACCTATACCGACCTGTCTTTCAGGGAAAGTCTCGTCGATGCTGACCTGAACTACCGTTTCTTGTGGTGGCTTCTGCTTTTGAGTTATTGGGTCGGACTTCGCTCTGATGGCACACGATTGATTAGCAATTCGGAGCTTGCATTCATTAATGTAACATGATCGAGCTGTAGCTTGATTTCCACGAAGTGTATAAATTCCTCCTGAAGTTGGAAATTTGACGCACTGATGATAAGTAGAAGCTACTGCCTTCATTGCATGGAGCCAAGGCGTTCCGAGGATGGCGTTGTAGATTGCTGGTGTCTTCATGACGAAGAACTTAACAGTTTTTGCAACACCCGCAACGTAGATCGGTATTTTGACAGTACCGACTGTCATGGTTTGCTCTCCCGTGAATCCTGTTAACGGTTCGATGTCCGCCTTACTTTTTTCCTTAGGAAAATCCATCTGCTCGAGTGTATCTCGGAAGATGACGTTAACCAAACTGCCAGTGTCGATCAAGACTCGACTTACTTCGACATCGTCAAAGAGTAGGTCGACTACAAGAGAATCGTTGTGTGGCATTTGGAGACCGATTGTATCCGCTTCTGTGAATGCAATGGCTGGTCCGCTCGTCGTTGTTGCGCTGAGTTTTGACGCGGTAATCGCCTGTCGACTATACTCTTTTATCCCCCGAACTGAGTAGTTGCACATCTCGAGTTTGCCCATGATAAAGTTGACTCGTTTCCTAGGTTTTGGTACATGGGTGTCTGTGTCGTTGTTTTCCCGACCTTGTTTTTGCTGCTCGGGTCTGGCTGGTTGTGGGTTATCTGTTTGGTTGTACCAGCGGTGTCTTGGATCCTTTCGTTTATGACTGTATTAGGTTGCTCTTGCTTTTCATTGTTGCATCGGAAAGGAGTTCGGCGAACATCGTCCATTGAAATTGATACTTTTCTGAATTGTTCTAGGAGGTAATCTTTCAAGTGTCGGCATTCTTCGGTGCTGTGTCCTTTACGGTTGTGGAATTCGCAGAACAATGTCTCGTCTTGATCGTCATTACCGCAAATCCATTTGTTGTTCCATGGTCGCTGTGGTTGAGCCGAGTTGACATTGTTACTTGTGAATTTTCGTCGATTGTCGAATCCTCTATCGTAGGTCGGACGTGACTCGTTATTATCATTTTTAGGTCTCTCTTTTGGGTCGACCTGCTTTTGTGAAGATTTGCTCTGATCGTAGGCGGCCTCCTCTTCCTCCTCTGCAATATATGAGTTCGACCGATGGAGTGCGTCCTCGAGTGTAAGCGGTGGGTTGTGTTTGATCGCTTTGTGAAAGGATGACTTAATCCGAGTTGCCTTGTGCAAACACTCGAGGGTGGCCTCGTCGCTGACCGTGCAATGGACGACAACTGACTTGAAACGTTTGATGAAGTCGCGGAGACTCTCGTTTTCTCCCTGAACCATTCGCCATAGTTTGGCATTTCGCGTCTTTTGCCCGATAAACATCGAAAAATGTTTAACGGACGCTGTTGAGAGTTCGGCAAAACTGTTTATGGAGTTCACTTGAAGTCGAGTGAACCAATCGAGAGCAACTCCTAGGAGATTTTCAACGAAAAACTGACACCTCACTGGATCTTTTTCTTCTGTCGTCCGGAACTGAAAGCGGTTCATGACGATGCCAAAAGATGTCAGAAAGTGCTTTGGGTCGGAATCTCCTTCGTAAGTTTTGAGTTTTAACTTCTCAAGGTGCCGAACAGGAGTGTTAGCGATTCTAGGAGTGAATGGCGTCTTTTGTGCCTCTTGGATAACGCGATCAATTTCGGGAGCTGCACTGGTTGCTTTGTGAATCTGTGAGGTGATTTCACGAAGTTTGACCTTCATGGCTTCGAATTCTTCGTCGCGATTGAAGGTGGATTGAGTGGCTGGGTTGCCAGTAGATCCTAAGGCTGTAGATCGGACTGTTCCAGTTGGGGGTTCCTCTGAGTTGAGGTCGCCAATTAAGTTACGACCTCGCAATGGAGTTTGCGTTTGACTGAGTTCTGCGATTTGGGACACCATGACGTCCAAACGTTCATTGTTATGTTTTGTTATTTCTTGAAACTGAGCTGTTATTGCCTGAAGAATGGCGTTTTGGTCAAACTGCCCAGAGTTTGCTGGAGTTTCCGTATTGTTCGGGTCAGTTCGGTTGGGATTTTCCGGAGTGCTATCGTTGTCGCCATTCCTTGTTTCGGAAGCAGTTAGGTCTGCCATTGCCAAACTTGTTCTTCTTTATCGAGCTAGATTGAAAATATTACTGTAATTCCCCACGGATGGCGCCAATTGTTGATATATAATATCACACTAAGGGGTAAAACAGTAATATTCGAATCAAAAGTCTCGTTTATTAGAAGATAGTTCGGAAAAATACAACTTGAGTTAAGGTCGTCGTAGTTCCGACGACCTCGTTAGCAAAGATAGAACTCGAAATAAAGTTGACGATCTCAAAGTTCTTCAAAGGTCTCTCTCTGCTGTTGATTTGCGGATGCCTTGAATGAATGAAGCTCTCCCCTATTTATACGAATTCTAAGGCGGTTTGAGAAGAACTTTCCTTTTCCTTCTCGATGTGGGATTTAACATTTTCTTCTCCGATATTTCCGGAAATGCTCAGTGAAATTCGGGAAAGTCGGCCAATTTCGTAAATTGGACTTTAATGGACCTTCTAGAAAGTCATACGTCGGCCCACCCGATTTAACCTCGATTTCAATCTTCGTAAACCGAGGTCTTTCTGGACCGGTCTCGATTAATACCGAGTTAACCGGGGGTGCGAAGTACACCACCAACAGCCACTACCACCACCGGCTGCTGCAACTGCAGCTGGAGGAGCTCGAGAGGCCCGACGAAACCCACCACAACCAGAAGAGGAGATGCCCATGTTGGAAGATGATGTTCCATCCGATCCGTTAATACGTCAACAAGCTCAATACCCCTTGAGAAGACAGAACGCGAGACAAGACGAGCCTAGAGAGGGTAACTTATATGTTAAGCTCACTCCTCCAACTTTTGCAGGCAAGTCGGACCTTGATGTCTACCTGGATTGAGAGAGAAGACTCGAATACATCTTCGAGTGTTACGGTTACTCTGACTGCAGGAAAGTGGCACTAGCTGGTGCCCAACTTACCGACAACACCTTAGCTTGGTGGGACAGAAACGTAGCGGACAGGAGGAGAAACCGTTTTGCACCGGTTACAACATGACGAGACATGAAGTTATTGCTCCGATCAAGGTATGTACCTGATCATTATCACCGGGACTTACAAAACTGTTTTAGAAAGTTGTCGCAGGGAATTAGGTCTGTGGATGAATATTTTGAAGAGTTTGAGAAGCTAGTGAACCTGTTGGAGCTCGAGGAGACTGAGGAGGCGTTGATGGCGCAGTTTATAAATGGCTTACAAGAGCGTATAACTCGTAAAGTGGAGAAAGCTCAATATAGTGGGATGCACGAACTGTTGCACTTGTCAGTGCAAGTGGAGCAGCAGATCAAGCGCAAAACATCCATGTCAAACAGGAATTGTGCCCCTCAAACCTGGAATGAAAGTAGCTCTAAACCGGTGGACAAAGGAAATGCCATAGAAATAGCTGGTTGTCTCCTCTTGAATTTCTCCAAAAGCTGGATCAGATGGTGAGAAAGTCTTCATTTGAGGCTGAACTTTTGACGGTCTGACTCTAAGCTAAAAATATGGATTTCTTCCATTTTGCCATTTTTTTCCTTAAGTTTCCTGAAAATAGCCTTGAAACTACAAATTTAGAAAAATCATAATAAAAGTTCCTAAAACTGATTAAAACCTTTAAAAAAGCATTTGAAATCAATGGTGAAAATGGGTACAAATACGGTGTTATCAACTCCCCCATATTTAGACTTTGTTTGTCCTCAAACAAAACAAGATCCATTATGGAAAATGTATGATATGTTCATAAAATACATCATTTAGATTGCATATTTCATTCTAAATCGTGTCTTATTTCATGCATTTAAGGTCTTTAGGCATTGTTTTAGGACTTAGGAGTTTGCATTAAGCCCAAGTGAGTCTTTGCATGGTTTGTAGTCTTAAACATGTAATATTGAGGACATTTGGAGTGAAGAGAGTGAACCAGATAAAGAAATAGAGTTTGGAGGATCATAAATGGTGGAAATGGTGTTTTTGGATCCATCGGCAAAGCCATGTACCGCAGGCTACAATTTCTCGGCTAAAATGCTTACCGGGTGGAGTTTTCATCGGCCAAACACTGTATCGGAACAAAGGAATCATCAGTTAAAACTTTATGCCAAAATAACTATATTATGACAAAAACATTTCGTCACAATAAACATAATTTCGTAGCAATAAAATTTTTGTGACGGAATTGTGACGTTTTTTGGACATCACAATACAGTCGTCACAAATTTTTTTTCGTAACAAAAACGTCACATCTGTTGTGACGAATATATCTAGTAACTGCTTCGTCAAACTGCTTCGTCATCAATGGTGACGAGAAATAAAAGTTACAAAACTGTATCAATTGGAGACTAAAGAAAATGTCTCAGACCATCATATTTTATGACTGTTATAATGTCTCAAATCTGTCACTCATTTTGACGAAATTTTAGTTCTAAATCGTCATAAATAATGACTAGGGAATCGTTGTCTATTCGTTATACTTACCTACTATCAATTATGTAACTTATTTCGACGAAAATTTAGTTGCAAACACGTGTAATGACATAAAGAACATTGGCTATCGATCTTAGTTTGCAACTATTTTTTGTCCTAATTAACTAATGATAAACTGACCATATTAAAAAAAGCTATATTTTCATAAATGAAACCATGATACATATTTGTGAATAAAGGATAGGTTGCTCAGCATCGTCCTCGGATCTCAAGCTTGACCTTTCTCGCCTTCAAGAAATCTCAAACTTGCTGTTTTCTTTGCCCGAAGAAGCTTTCATCTGGTTTACAACTTGCAAACCTGGCTCGATACCCATTTTGACCATATATGAGTTGGAACAGAAACCACCAACAAATGAAATCTGTAAATTTTTCCATATGAGATTGCTGTTGAAAAAAACTTTATGCTGAAGTACCTTATTAGATGATTTCATAATTACCTCAGATGTTATTCCTTCTAGTGCAGGCTTCATATAATCAGGTGAGCAAATCACGTATTGTTTTAGTAAAAAAGAAAAAAAGAAAGGCAGGTCATTTTCCAGTCTTTTAATTTTCAAATTGAGGAAGAAACAGAATGCGTTTTTGGATTTTGGGAGTACCTGATGCCAGGTTACATCCTCGACCCATGAATTATGCAAAGTAGATCATCCAGACCTAATAACAATGCAAATACTAAGGTTACAATATGTAAATACATTATGACTAACAAAGCAGATTTAAAATAAAAAGGACTGAAACTCAAAAGCTGGTAATGATACACAAATACCTGCTAAGACTAGATACGGAGAAACCTTGTCTCGGTGCCTCCTTGCAGATATGAGAAGCAACATAAAAATTTCCTCCGAAAACCAATATATTCATTCTAGGACAAAACAATCTTAAAACCAATTTGATAGGTTCAGAGAGCAGAGAGAGGGAATATGTGAACAAATTTTGTTTTTTAATTCACTCCTGATATATTGCGACCAACAAAAAACAACACAATTAACCAAATGATATTTGTCAGTTACAACAAACACAAAATGAGAGTATATCAACGAGCAGTCTCAGCTCTCCATAAGCCCAGAGGCTTCCACAACATCTAGACGCATGATAACAGCACCTAACTCTTGTCTAAACTGATTACATTCTTAACTAAATTGTTGGTTTAACAATTGGATTTGATGAACTCTTACCACAATGTCTCATCAAAATCAAAAAGCAATGAAAAAGGTACCTTATCTCCTGGATGTGAACCTGCAGTTTTAGAAAAAAGCCTTCCATTTCCACTCCGGGTGATTGAACTATCAGAAAAAGAGAAGATCATCATAAACTCAGAAAAGCAAGCACTTTCGTCGAACACATTGTGTGCGCAAAATAAAGCATATAAAATCTGCAATGAAAGGTGAAGGAGCATCGCAGAGTTAATTACCACAGGAACGATAGGAGTTGGGATCGTCGGCTACCATGAGGAAATCAGGGTCATAGAGAACTCCTTCTCCACTTGATCCAATCCCCCCTCCTCCTATACCTCTTTTGGCACACAGGTTCTATTGCATCCTCTTGTGAGCACAGCCACGAGGCTTGTATATTTGGGGATTTTCGATTGCTCTCTCCAAACTGCCACCACCAAACTCTAATACAGATCTGTTTCTCCATCTAAAGCACAAAAACGTCGGAAAAGAGCCAACCAGTTCGAATCCTTGGCGTGAAGCCCCTTGTCTCCGACAAAGCTCATACCCATACCACCACCAGTCGCCGATAAGCTCGGGAAAGGAAGCTTTGGATCTTGACGGCGCTGTTTGTTTAGGATGAAGTCACACCAAATACGAGAGAGAGAGAATCGTTTTGAGAAGAGGAGGAGATGAGAAGAGGAAGAAAAACTTAAGAGAGGAAATCGTGTTTCGTGAGGAGGAAGGGAAAAAGAAAAATTAAAAAGAGAGAAAAAAATAGAGAGAATCGTGTTGTGTGAGGAAGAGGAAAGGAGGAAAAAAAATTATTTCTGTCAAAACCCTAAAAAATTTGGGGAAAACATTTCACCAAATTTAAAATTTTCCTAAGTATTTAGCGCCCATGACAGAAATTAGACTCCAAATAACTCAATCATTTATTGCTTCTTTTTTTGTAAAATTATGGTTTAGCATTAGTAAAGTGCTATAATAGAGTATTTGAAGTTTATGAGTTTTTATTTGTCAACAGCTTAGATACCTAGAACAGTTTAGTAATCCAAACTTGAAGTATCGAGTTTACATAATTAATACCGTGAGGGTAGATCTGAACACTCCATGCTAGGTTATTCGCCTTCATATTCTTCGTTCGTGAGATATGTTTTTATGAGTTATTTACTTTTAAATAAATATTTTTTATATTTTTCAGTTTATGAGTTATTTATTTTTCAAGTAAATTTAACTTTTTCATTTTAAATGTTTTTAAGTGATTTGCCATGATTAAATATTTTTTAATTATGAAATCGCCGAAAACCTAAATCTTAAACCCTGTACCCCAAAATCTATGTCTTACACCCTTCTACATACCCTATACCCTATACTTTATACCATTAAACCTACACCTCAAATCATATGCCATAAACTATAAATAAAAGATTCACCAACTTTTTCTTCTTATGTATATTGTAATAGTTTTTTCTATTCTATTTTATGCTCTTATTATGAAACAATAATTTATTGTATAATTTTTTATAACCTGAGAAATAACAAAGATATATTACAAGCGTGAATCCCTAAACTCTAAATCAAACACTCTTTAATCCAAAAAGTTATTAAATTTCTGTAGTAATAAAAATATAAAAAATATATTTCAAATCCTATATCGTTTTATCCTAAACCCCAAATTTTACACTTATTAACTTTTTGTTTTTATTTTGTATTTTGTAATAGTTTTTTCTATTCTATTATGTATTCTCAGAATAAAACAATATTTTTTTATGTTTTCTTATTTCAATTGAAATAAAAATAAAAATAAAATTTATACCCTAAATTACACATATTAGTCAGTAAAAATTATTATATTTCTATTATTAAAATACTACTCACTCATTGGGGATTTGACATAAATTACTTTTCTGTTCATAAAATCTTACCCAAAACTTTATTAGTATATTTAATTAGTAATGCTAATGATCCAAGATGTTCAACAAACAATAGCATCTTCGAATTCTATAAATCCGCAATACACATTGTTTAATTTCTTCAACAACACTACGTCAGATACAAGTTTTTAGATAAAATAAAAATAGAATAGAATAAGAAATTCATTCAATTGGGTTTTTGGATGTTTATCTGAATTAAAGCTATTTTCTTATTTATTTTTAAATAAACTTGTGATTTAATCTTGCACAAAGTGGTAACAGTTATGTCATAAAGTGGTAACAATTATGTCATAATCTATGATCAAACTTAAAAGTGACTAAAATAGTAACTAATTGTGATGATGTACTTACAAAACATTTACAAAACATTTGTAACTTTGAGTGACTTAAGTTTAGTCACAAATATCGTATAATTTAGTTACTAAATTTGGTCGCAAATCTGTAACAATATTTGTTGCTATATATTATGTAACAATTACGTCACAATTAGTGACAAAAGTTTGCTACATTTAATTTGGTCACAATATTATGACGAAAAGGTAATGCTTTTATGACTAAATAATTTTGTCACGGTTTCATATGAAAATCATAACAAAATTGTTACAAAAAAATTTAGTCACAACTTTTCTAACAATATTCATTTTTTTTTTGTAGTGCCAGGTTCTAAGGTCTTTTATTGGTAAATTTGTTGTAGTGTACTTTGATGATTTTCTCATCTATAGCAAGAGTTTACCTGATCATCTCATGCATCTAGAACTAGTTCTTAAGACACTTTGAATGGAAGGGCTCTATGCCAACCTTAAGAAGTGCTCATTTTGTACTAACAAGCTTGTGTTTTTAGGCTTTGTTGTCAGTGAACAGGATTTACAAGTGGATCAAGAGAAGATCAAAGCTATACAAGAATGGCCGACTCCTTCCACCATCAGCCAGGTTCGGAGTTTTCATGGCCTAGCAAGTTTTACAGCCGTTTGTGCGAGATTTCACCACAATAGCTGCCCCACACACGGCTGTTATCAAGAAGAACACACCATTCACTTGAGGAGCCGCCCAAGAAACAGTTTTCAACTCCCTTAAAACTCGTTTAACTTAAGCACCTGTTTTAGCTTTACCTGATTTTAATGTAACTTTTGAAGTTGAGTGTGATGCTTCAGGTTTAGGGATCGGAGCCGTGTTACATCAGAGGCAGAGACCAGTGGCTTACTTCAGTGAGAAGCTAAGTGGAGCCACTCTGAACTATCCTACATATGATAAAGAGCTGTACGCGCTTGCGAGAGCATTGGAGTTTTGGCAACATTATCTTCTTTCCAAGGAATTTGTGATACACACGGACCATGAGACCCTCAAGCACCTAAGAGGACAAACAACCTTAAAGAGGAGGCATGCCAAGTGGATATAATTCATCAAGACTTTTCCCTACATCATTAATTACAAAAAGGGAAAAGACAATGTGGTGGCTGATGCATTGTCTCGGTGACATGCTTTGATTTCAACCATGGAGGCCAAGGTCTTAGGATTTGATCACATCAAGGTTCTATACGAAGAAGATCCTGACTTCTATGAAAGCTTTAAGTCAAGTGGGAAAGGATTTTTTGGAGCATATTACTTGCACGATGGGTTTTTGTTCAGAGACAAGAGGCTGTGCATTCCACAAAGGATCCTTGTGAGACTTGCTAATGAGAGAAGCTCATGGTGGTGGCTTCATGGGTCATTTCGGCGTAGATAAGACTTTAGCCGTTTTGGTGGATCATTTGTTTTGGCCACACATGAAGAAAGATGTGGAAAAGTTTTGCTCAAGATGCATCACATGCCACAAGGCAAAGTCCAGGTTACATCCCCATGGCTTATACATTCCTTTGCCTATTCCTAATGCCCCTTGGGTGGATATTTCCATGGATTTCATACTAGGTTTACCCAGGATCAGGCACAAGGACTCTATATTTTTAGTTGTGGACCAATTTCCAAGATGGCACACTTCATACCTTGTGCCAAGGTGAATGATGCCACACAAACAGTCGATCTATTCTTTATAGAAGTGGTGCGTTTACACGGAGTCCCTAGAACCATTGTGTCTGATCGAGACACCAAATTCTTGAGTCACTTCTGGAAGACACTTTAAAGGAAACTAGGCACCAAACTGCTATTTTCCACCACATTCCACCCTAAAACGGATGGGCAAACCAAAGTGGTGAACTGCACACTCTCGACCTTACTCAGAGCCACCATCGGTAACAATTTAAAAAATTGGTTAGAGTGTCTTCCCTTTGTTGAATTTGCTTATAACCGAGCCACACACTCTGCTACTAAACTGTCTCCTTTTGAAGTTGTATATGGATTCAATCCATTAACCCCTTTAGATCTCTCACCACTGCCTGAAGTGGAACAAGTTAATCTAGATGGCTTAAAGAAGGGAGAGTTCATCAAGAAGCTTCATCAAAAGGCAAAGGAGAACATAGAGAAAAAGACTGAAGGGTACAAGAGGAGAGCTGACAAGGGCCGCAAAGAGCTAGTCTTTGAACCCGGAGAATGGGTTTGGCTTCATATGAGGCCTGCGCATTTCCCACACAAGAGGAACTCCAAGCTAGCACCGAGGGGAGATGGACCATTCCGTGTTTTGGAGAGGATAAATGACAATGCCTACAAACTTGAGCTGCCAGGTGAGTTTAACATTTCACATAGTTTCAATGTAGCTGATTTGTCCCTTTTTGATGCAGGTGAAACAGTTTTGAGGGCAAAACCTCTTGAAGAGGGAGAGAATGATGAGGTCATCGAGCACCCTAAGGAGGATCCCAACATCCCAACACATCAAACAGGTCCCGTGACTCGATCCAGAACCAGGAGCCTGCGTGAAAAGATCAACTTAGCCGTATCTAAGTTCATACAAGCACCCAAGGAGGAACAAGCAGAGGACACAGCTTAAACTCAACTGAACCAGCATCAGTCCAGCAAGGAAACAGGAAAGAAATCTCTCTTGACTGGACAAGGAGTCGAGACCATCAAAGAACCAGAGGAGATCATCACTCAAGAGTCGAAGACAAGCAGCACCAGACACTTAGCCGTTAGCGATCAACCTGAGTTCTCACATGAGACACTAGCTGAAGATGAGGCTGCCAAGAGAGGGATTCACGCCTTTGAAACAAGCATCATCAACACTACCAAGACCGCAGAAGACCACTTGAAGATCGCCTCAATCCACGTCAAGAACAACTCACTTCTCTCATGGCCACTTTTGCGTGTAACCCAAGTAAGTTTTACTTATGAGTTTTGTGCAGGAACAGGTGACCAGCCCAGTGGTGATTAGTCTAAGGGGAGACAGAGACACCAGAGTTCAAGTCTCGGCCAAGGCTTAGTATTTAAGTTGAACTTTCCTTATTTGTGTACAATTGAGACAACTCACTGTTTACTTTGTTTTCTTTGCCGTTTTCTTTTGTTCTTTTTCTAGTCCTGTGGTTGTTGAGTCTTTTCTTTTCATTTGAGTCGAACCCTAGAAGGTTCAAGCTGACGGACTGTTTATAAAGTCCCCTTGCTGCTTTGTAGTTCGATACCCTTTGCTTATCAATAAAATAACGCCGTTTTCTTTGAAGCTTTTGCTTGAGAGAGTTGCTTGCCTTTCCGTGTGTGTGATTCCACTCAAAGGCTAGTGTTTGCTGTATCAGAGAGTCTTTCATCCTCTCTGTGGTGCCATCGATCCACCCTCACTTCCCCTGAACCGATCCAACAAGAGAGAGTGAAGGACAGCTTGTTAGATCTCCATCAACTTGTGAGACTCTCCTCCGAATCTTACACCATTGGGTATCAGAGCCGAAAGGTTCTGCCATCGGGTGATATATATCCATCTCTAGTTTATCTTGATTAGTTGTTGTTTGCTCTATTTT